CAACTATGCGTCGCTTAACATACGTCACGCACTCCGTTGCTCTTATTGGTTGTAGGTCTATCCAATTGAGTGCAGAGGCATTTTTTCCCCTGGTTCGTTCGAAACACGCCCCATAATCACAGCTCTATGGAGCAGCATCAGACTCATTCTGACTAGAATTGAGTAGGACTACGTCAGGCTACTATTTTTGTACCCATTCACTGTGTTTACAAGAAAAAGTTTGTTTAAATGATGCAAGTCAACCTCATAGTCCTCCGAAGTCACCATGAGTAAAATTATACCACTAATGAGCTGTTTCTCAGTCTGCCGATCAGTTTCCTTTCTGATAACAAAATGGGAAGATTGGCTTTTAGGCTAAATCTGGTCGATCCGTCATAGTCTTGATTTAGACCAGAAGTAGTTGGTCTAAATTGGTCTGTTTGGTTCGTCTGGTTTCGTACCACTTTAGTCCAATAGTAGACATTTCAAACACAGTTTCCAACGTCTTTTCAACAATCGCAAAATTAGAGCTTTTTACCTTTCGCTTTTCAACCAAATGTAGACATCTTTTGGACATAAATCGTGTTGTTTTTTCAATTTTTGCTTGATGGGTAAGCTTTAGTCGCTTGAATATGTTGGTGTAGAAAAATACAACTCTATCAGCACAGATGAGGAGAGAAGCAAACTCTTCATACAGAAGATTATGTATTCTGTCCAAAAATGTACTAAATATGCAAAAAAATGTATTTAACTTTGTTGGACTTAAATTAGGTAAATTAACGTAAACTGGTGCATTTTTTGAGTATGAATTGATTTCCCAAATGTCCATGACTATGAGGAGTCAGATTAGATTTAGAGCACTAGTTGTGAGGGTGAACTTGGTTGGTGTACATTCACTAGGAGGCGCCTAAGGTAGCATTTCATGTTCTACCTGAGAGGACTTTCCTGCTGGTCCTGCATTATTTAGTCTTTTTTTGTTTTTCCTCTGCCTGTTTCATACATCATTAAAGAGCTTCTGTGTGTTCTGAGCTGAAACACAGAGTCGACTCATACAGTTTCAAAAAAACCTTGAAGTATGAATGTAAATATTTTTCTAAATAGCTAATTATTGTATAAAAAAAAGAAACTAACTTCTTTATAATTATGCTTACGTTTTCTTTTGAACATTTGTGTTGGATTTTTATAAAGGTTGGCATGGCAGAATTAGATTTCGTCACCATTGGGCGGCGTGTTGCTGTGTGTGTTGTGTATCAGCAGCAGCTGTCTCTTTCTCAAGGAGGCTGTCCAACTGTAAGACAGGTGACCTCGACTCCAAAGACACCACGCTTGCAAACAGCAAGGACATTGGTTTCAGGCTAGAGCCACACAGCTGAGGCTGGACGTCCAGATGGAGCACCTTAGGCTAATTTGATCAGACGGATTACTGGTCTTGATTGGGGAGAGAGCATGAGCGAGGTCATCCATCACCCTCCTGACAGAAAATAAAGTGTGTGAGTCATCTTCTCAGGACTTTTTGGTCAGAGAGCTCAAAATATCTTGCTTTGTTTCGTATTCTGGTGCCACATATACCTTCTGTGAAGCAGCTCTTAAAATTAGCCTTCTGAATTTGCAAGAAACCGATTCTCTTGTTTAGAGTGGGCTGACATATAAAAAAATTAGATCATTTCTGATTCATAACACTGATGTTTTGCAAAAAGGTAACTGACATAAGAACTCTGTGCTATAATAACCTCTTTTTTTAAAGAAACAAAACTAAAATGTTGCGGCCAAGAAATTCCGCATTAAATGTAGCTATATAATATTTATATTGGTGAAGTTAAAAATAATCAACCTGACTCCTCCAGATGGATTTTCTCCGCATATCCATCTGGAAACGTTCCGCTGAAGTCATTCTGGGAAGTATTTTCCGATTCCATGGCATCGTTTGGCAGCTCGCTGAACGATTCTTTTTTCGATTCCCGCAGCACCAGAGCCTAGAG